CAGCAAAAGGTCACACCAGGGTGTGAGTGAGAGGAAGACTAGACCCCAGAGAAGCCACCCTGCCACAGTCCCAGGGGCAAGTATGCCCCACTCCCTGAACATGCAGGTGCACATGCCCCAGATCCTGTTGGCACCAGAGCAAAGCACAGACCCCTTCATTGCGCACACAGAATGACATCCAGTGAACGAAGCGCACCTCGAGGGTTTAATTACAGGGGAGAAAGACGACTCTGGCTTCATGTGTAAAGACATGCTTAACCCTTTGTCTGCACAGGGTAGAATGACTGGAGCAGAAATGCCCCCTCCTCTGCATTCAATGGATGGAACATGGGAGTAAGAAAAGCCCCTGCCTCCCAGGGTTTTTGCGGACATTGATTGAGCTAATGCACGTGAGCAGTGCCAGGCACTGGCTGCCATGGTTATCGTTATGGAAAGCAATTCCATGGTGCTGGGGGTTGCCAAGGGTGTCAGCCAGTAGGTGACGGGGCCCTGCCAGCAATGCGCGGCTCTGGTGGCTGCATCTAGTCCATGAGATGCTATATTTATGTTGTGCCCTCACATCCCCTCTAGAAACCTGTTCGTCAAATGTGCTCAGAGTAAATCATTCAGAGGAGACCAGCTACACTCTATTTGCCCTAAGGACAGACAAGGAAAGAAGAAACAGGCTGACTGTCCTACAGCAGGGACTTTGTTTAGATACGAGGAGGAACTGGCCGTCACTATAGATTAACTTTAAAACCTAACTAATTTGGACTAATTGGAGGGAGGTGAGTCTGATTAACTTAAAACTCCGAATTAGACCTTATTTTTAAATGAAATTTTTTTTGCTTTTAAACACATACAGTGACTCAAACTAGGGGTACTTTACTCAATGAATACAAGTGATAATTAGCATCTTGTCTCTTTGGAGGGAAATGCCAGTGCTCAAGGAGAAAATTTTCTTTTAACGAAAAGGGTAAAAGCAAACTTCAGCTCAGCCCTGTCAAATTACTCGCAAATTTTGAGTCTGTGGAGGCACTGCTTAATCAAGTATAGATGTAGGTGGCTGAGGGTGGTGGGGGATGATTTTCTCCAAACAGCCTTTAAAAAACGGGGCTTTTGAGATGGTCCAGGTATAGAGAACACGGAACCCAATGACCTCCCGTTTCCTTCAGGCTCTCTGGTTTATTTGCCTTATGGCTTAGCTTTTTAAACCTAAGGAGAATCCTTTAAGCCCTTATGTCCTAGGCTTGTCATTTATTACCACCATGCAGCAACACTGGCGTATGAGGCCAATAAATCATTTGGACGGGAAGTGACTATAGGCCGGATTAATTTCATTATCATCCTTAAGCAGATAGGTGTCTAGCACGGCCGACGTCTGCAGTGAAGAGTGATGTTCCATCTCTCCCGGCAGGCTTTCCCCTTGCCTTGCAGACAGCTGTGGTGGTTCTTCGTTCTCCCTGCTGGAGAGACTTGCCCTGCCTTCTATTAACGGCAGTGAGTAGCCCCATCCCCTGCCTCTGGGGCCCACTCCACGCCCCACAGTGGCCGAGGGATGGAGAGAAGCCTGGCAGGCGAAGCGGAGCTGAGCAAGACAAGAACTTCAGTCAGCAGCAGCCGAGGAGGGCCCTGGAGGCTGTGTCTCCTCTGAACTTGCCAAGACAAGCCTGCCACCCAAACACAGGGAGAGGTGCTGGCCTGCAGGTCTGGACCCCTGAACTGATGCCACGATAAGCGCCTCTCTAAGCACTTCCACCCAGCAGGGCAGCACCTCTGACGCTGACCTCCTCCTGGTCATTACCTTCCCTCTGGGGCTGTGTTTTTCCAAACATGGCCAGAGATGTCCCTTATTCCTCAGCCCAAAAATACACGCTTTTAGAAAACTCCCTGGGAAATTTTACAAACTCCAAAAGCTAAGAACGACGGCCCTTGGCAAGATGCTTCCAGGGTTGGCTAGTCTGAGCTGTAGGAGAGTCAGCACAGGGGCAAGTCGCTGGCCTGCAGCTTTCTCTGCTAGACTCCCTCCAGCAACGCTGCAGGGGCAGCACCTCCTTAGTCATCACCCAGAGTAACCACTTCCAAACTGGGTGACCACTCAGCCAAAAAGCCGAAGGATGGGTGTTCTCTGTCCCTGGCCGCTGTCCAAGCAGCTCTGCTTAGGAACAGTCTCACTTCTTCCTCCGCGAGGGGAGAATCTGGCAGAGTCCTAGGTTCTTCCTGGTGCAGATCTGTCTCCCTGGGACTGTACAGCTCTGAAAAACGGGAGGTGCCTACCCTCCCAGTGTGCTGGGCTGCTGCTGCTCCTCCTGTCTTCTCCATCCTTAGGAAAGCACCTGCATCCAGACATCTGCACAGCCATCCGCAACCGACATCCTTGACCCTACCCTCATCCCACTATCCCTCCCATCCATGTGACTTATAGTGTCCTCCTGAGCATCTGATTCTATTTGTGTGTCTCTGTGTCTGTCCAGAGTCACTGCATTATTGCTGGGCAGCACCAATCCTCACCAGAAATCCATAGCTTCAAATGCCCGTTTCCAGGTTTGCACCCCTTTTGTCTACACCTATCCTACACACAGCCCCAATCATTTTCTGAAACACAAAACTCCCTTCAGGCCCTCCCACGGCTCCCCACTGTTCTTGGGACAAGACTCAGAACTCCCGAAGAGGCTGCCTGTCTGTGTGATCTGCTTGCCTTTCTGCCCCTACTTCTTGTAAGAAGCTGCAGCATGGCTAGTTCAGCCACAGACCCTACAGCCAACTATCCAGGTCCGAATCTGGCCCTGCCACTAACTAGCTATTACCAGACCTCCCTAAGCCTCACCATACCCATCTATGCAAGTGGGGTTAATAATAGAACCTACCTCATAGGACTGCTATAGGATAGAATGGGGAGAAATACTGAAACCGCCATTGCAAAACTAACAGTGAAAGACATCTGAAAGGTGAACAGTGAAAGAGATCTGACCTAACCAACTCCATCTTGCTTCTAACCTCCAAGCTGTCCTTGCTCATTCCTGGGCATAGGCTAAACTAACTTTGGGAGGAGCTTACAGTTTAAAACAAAGATGACGACAGCCCTTTCCCAAAACCTTCTTCTTGCCTGGACACTAGACTGCCTTTGTAGGACTAACAAATTAGCCACAAGATTAGAAATTATGGTTTAGGAGTCATGCAGCTGGAAGCTACAAGATTCTGACTCTCCCCAGATTGCTCCTGGGAATAAAATCACTACTGTAAAACCTAAGACCAGTGCTTGAGATATTTTGCAGACCCTGCCCCCTTTTTTTTTTTTTTTGAGACAAAGTCTCGTGTGTGTGTGTGTGTGTGTGTGTGTGTGTGTGTGTGTCTGTCTGTCTGTCTGAGATGGAGTCTCGCTCTGTTGCCCAGACTGGAGTACCATGGCTCCATCTCAGCTCACTGCAACCTCCATCTCCTGGGTTCAAGCAATTCTTCTGCCTCAGCCTCCCAAGTAGCTGAGATTACAGGTGTGCATCACCATGCTTGACTGACTTTTTGTACTTTTAGTAGAGAGAGGGTTTTACCATGTTGGCCAGGCTAGTCTCAAACTCCTGACCTCAGATGATCTGCCTACCTCAGCCTCCCAAAGTGCTGGTATTACAGGTGTGAGCCACCATGCCCAGCCCAGACCCTACTCTTGATGGATCATGTGGCACCACCCAGATCAATAAACTGGCTCATCAGATCTTGTGGCACTCACCCCAGGAACTGACTCAGTGCAAGAAAACAGCTTTGACTTCCGTTTGATTTCATCTTTGATCTGACCAATCGGCACTCCTGGCTCACTGGCTTCCCCCAACCCACCAGGTTTCCCTTAAAAACTCCGATCCCTGAATGCCCAGGGAGACTGATTTGAGTAATAATAAAACTCCCATCTCCTGCACAGCTGAATTACTTTATCTCAATTCCCGTCTTGATATATCAGCTCTGTCTAGGCAACGGGCAAGGTGAACCCATCGGGCAGTTACATTACAGGGACACGTGGAACTAGCACCTGGTGTGGTGTAAGTAGTCCATAAGCACTAGCTACCATCAGCTGTCACTGCCCTCCTCCCCGCTCACCACTGCCCCTCTCAAGTCGTGGCTAACATGCACACTCTCTCTTCCCTGCTGTATGTGCCTGTACCCTAGCTCAGTCTGGCTAAATTCTCATTCTTCAGGTCTCAGCTCAGTAATAACCAACCCCAGGAAGCCTCTTGGATTCTCCAAGCCACATAGCACTATTACACGTAAGGTGTTGCTTCTTCGTCTCTCCCTCCTTTTCTGTGCCCCCTTCCCCGGGGGCTGCAGGCTCTGTGAGGGCAGGGACCTGGTCTTCGCTCCTCTCCTGTGCAGCCTCAGCTCTTAACGGAGTAGATATTCAACAAAGATTCAGATAATACTGCTAAACAAATGAACACACATATCCCAGTGTGTTCAAGAACCTTCCCTGCCTCCTCTGTCTTGTTATGTGCAAGATTCTCGGGCACTCAGATCTCTGAGAAGTCACGTGCACCCCTCACCGCCCTCGGCACTCACCCAGTATGTGGGTTAAGAGGCCAAAGGAAGTATCGCTCAATATTGCAAACAAACAGGAAATTTAGAACTTCTTCACAAAGAAAGGACCCTACACAAAAGGTTACAAGGTCTACTGTGAATGCTGTGGAGGGAAGCTTGGGACTTCCAGGACTTTGTTTAGCATCAACACACTCGGACCCCGTGAAGGCTAAAGGATCACTCTTCTCTGGTTTCCTAGACACATGCTGAACCTCAGGGTGGAGACAGTTTGGGAGATAGGAAAATTGTAGCCTTCCGAGAAGGGAACACATGACAAGTACACTGTGAGGGCCCTTCATGGGCTTGTCTGCACAAGCAACTAAAGAAAACGTCAGCCCCAGACACACTGATCTGCAAGTTATTCCAGGAAATGGGCAGGAGTCCTGTTGTTTTAAAAGAATGTCCATGGTACTAGGATTGGGGATGAGGAAGGAGACACGGGGTTCCAGTCTTGCTCTTACCTCATAGTGGCCAATGGTGTTGAGCTTGGTGATTCCATCTTCGAGAATCACAGAGGAACTGTCGATATCCAGGAGTTCCTTCTGTCGTGTGCCCACCTGAAGCTCTGAAAAAGGCGGGGAGCGTTTTGTTCCTTTTTAGAGAGCTTTAAAATGCTACCACCTTCCTTTCACAAATTTACCAATAAATAAAAATTGAATAAAGTGGTAAGTCTTTGTTTGAAGGTGTGGAGATGGATCAGCCAGACTGCTGGCTCAAGTTCTGGTTTTTTGTTGTTTGTTTAGGGCGCTGACGTTTCAAACCACTTTTTTCCTGAAGCTTGTGCTCTGAGGCTAAGCCTGGAAGTGAAGCCACTTAAGACAAAATAATGCATTCTCTGAGGGACTTAGGTCTTCAACAAAACTTTCAGAGTCAAATTTTTTTCTTTTGAGGCAAATTTGTATATGCTTACACCTGTGTGTCCGTGTTCACAAACAGGGCATGATATGAACCATCTCTATAGGCTCCTGTTGAGGGTGGAAGGGGGAAGCATCAGTGTGTGAAGGTCCCGGCACCACAGGGTGACTCTCTGGCCAAGGTTGCCAACCTGTATCTAAGTCAAAATGTGGCACACAAATGTGATTTTTTTTTTTTTTGGAAACTGCATGGTGTTTAGTTATTATTTTAGTGTCAACTCAGTGCTAACATTAAAAGATTAAAAATTGCACACGGTCTGGACACAGCAGCTGGGGCCGGTAATCCCAATACTTTGGGAGGCGGAGGAAGGAGGATTACTTGAGGCTAAGAGTTCGAGACCAGCCTGAGCAACATAGTGAGACCCTGCCTCTATAAAAATTTTTAAAAAGTTTTAAAGTTGCATATAAAAAACTGGATATCTGATTTCTTTAAAAATGGAACAGTCTAGTAACACAGTCCGCAGTCCACATGGCAACCACTGAAGCAAATGGCCCCATCCCCTTGGATGGCGAGTCCTTTCCCACTCAGCCAAGCTCCACCGCTTTCTGTAGTCCCAGGTGGCTGACACCCCTTAGGGATTTTCTGCCCCTTTGGACATCTGAGTTTTTGAGCCTCTGCTGTAAGAGCTCCCAGCATAGCTGCTTCTGGTGTTGGATTTCTTTTGTTTATTTTTGGAGATAGGATCTCCCTCCATTGCCCAGGCTGGAGTACAGTGGTGCAGTCTGGGCCCACTGCAACCTCTGCCTCCTGGGTTCAAGTGATTCTCCTGCCTCAGCCTTCCTAGTAGCTGGGACTACAGGTGCAAACCACCATGCCTGGCTAGTTTTTTTATTTGTAGTAGAGACGGGGTTTCACCAAGTTGGCCACGCTAGTCTCAAACTTCTGACTTCAGGTGATCTGCCTGCCTTGGCCTCCCAAAGTGCTGGGATTACAGGCCAGGCATGAGCTACCACATCCAGACTACCCGGAGGTAGTCTAGGCAATGACTAGGCACGCAAAAGCCTGACACAGCCGACAGGCCGTGTCCCCAGTTACTATCGTACTACAGCATGAGGCCACCTGCTTGCTTGGCTCCTTGCCTTCCTATTTCAGGAGGCAAGGGACACCCAAACTCAGGAAAAGAGTGAGGATGCTATTACCTGCTCATCAGTGGCAGGACCAAGACTGCTGGGCAGGGTGTGCCCATGTCCTGTGTAGTGAGAGAGCCACACGTTTGCAAGATGTATGCTCAGGGCAAGGAAGGTGGCAGTCTGGGGTTGGGTCATGGTTTCCCGGCTGGGGCTGCCCCTGTGATCCGGTATCTAACGAAATGGGCTAAAATAGTCTTCAAGCGGCCCAACAGTCACCCAAGAAAGGAAGCAGAAGAGAGGTGCCTTAGTGGCCCTGCTTTCTTTAAAGCCATAGCACCAAGTTGTCCCATATTTGCACAGACTCAAACTTCCAAGGCCCTGCCTCAAGGCTTTCTCAATGGCCTTTTAGCAGGGGGCTGGACTGGGAGGGCCAGGTGGGAGGATTTTAACTGCCTGCTTAGTTGAGGCCCATCCCTGTACATCGGGGGGAGGTGAACCTTGTTACACTGTCTGTCACCGCCATGATTTTATTCTTTCCTGTCCCATTATCTGCCATAAAATCCCACGACAGTCTCCTGGGAAGACTGCACGGAGCTCAACTTTAAAATGTTGATGAACATTTGAGTGAAGTGGGGCCCTGTTAGCTTGCTCACGCATATGCTCTCCTTTGCTGTATACCAATAGAGCCTGAAAATGAATTCATAGCAGATGCTGCTGCACGCTGGGGGAAGATGGAGCATATACTTAATACAGGATGCGATTAGCAGGGAAGATGACCTTTCTAGCAGGCTGGAGTTAACACCCAGAGTCTGAGCCACCCACTAATGACACGCTCAGTATCACAACAAACAAATCAAATGCCAGTGTGAAATGCAACACACGCAGAGGGCACCAAGTTGACACCTTCCTGTACTTCTTGATGCAGGGTGATTTCATGTGGTCTTGGGGTCTGCAGTTTCATGAATCTGATTTACAGATGTCATATTTTTTTAAAATGGCATCTCTGAAGGACTGTGCTTTCTTCGAAGCATCAGGATGCCCTTGAGAGAGCAAAGCAGTCTCTTGGCCCCTAGTCATGCCCTCCAGGAACAACCTGGCTATGTAAGTGTCACTAAACAGAAGCTGGTGGGGGCTGGGAGTGGGGGCAGGCAGGGAGGGACACTCATCAGGCCCGGGACCACATCGCTCCACATCGCTCCACACCGCCTTACCAAGACCAATTTCATTCAGCTGAAGTCCATAAGGAGAGCCGTTTTTGCTTAAGAATGCTTGGAAAATCTTTTCTTTGGCTTGGCCTATGGTGTCACAGTCGAGAACATTGACTGAAATATTCCGACAGACATCTGCACTCTCGTTTTCCGGGATTTTTTCAAAGACGACGTTTAATGCCTGCAAGAATACAAACAGATTTCCAAGTCTATTAGATAATTGCAATCTGAAAGGCATTTCATAAAAGACACAAACCTTGGCAAGTCCCATTAACACCTCTGACAGCACATTAGCAAACACTGGATTGCATTATACTACTATCATCTCTTCTCCATAATCCATTCTTCTCAGGGATAATGGAAAGGAAAACAGAAAGTTAAAACTCTCATTATATAGCAAGCATTGAATAAATATATCTGAGAGTAAAATATATATATACATAGTCTAAAAATGGTAATTTGGTGATTTCTAATTTCATTCTCAAAAGAAAAAGAAAAAAAGAACCGGAAGGGTTCCACAGTAGACAAGGCAGATTGGTGATTATCTTTTTTATTAGCAGAAACAGAGAGTCCCAGAAGTGAAGTTCCAGGTGACAGGAGAGGTTACGAGACCCCCATATTGACCTTGCTAAAGAGATCACTTTTTTGGCTTTTTTTGGAGACGGAGTCTTGCACTGTTGCCCAGGCTGGAGTGCAGTGGCATAATCTTGGCTCACTGCAACCTGCACCTCCTGGGTTCAATTCTCCCGCCTCAGCTTCCTGAGTAGCTGGGATTACAGGCACACTCCACCATGCCTGGCTAATTTTTTTTTTTTTTTAGTAGACATGGGGTTTCACCAAGTTGGCCAGGCTAGTCTTGAACTCCTCACCTTGTGATCCACCAGCCTCAGCCTCCCAAAGTGCTGGGATTACAAGTGTGAGCCACTGTGCCCGACCCAAAGAGGTCACTTTTTAATATGCAGCATTAATTATAGGAGCAGTCATCTCCCCCTCCACTCTCAACATCCTCAGTCAGATGGTTTCCTGGGCCTTCATTAAAGCACTGAGATCCCCACCCCTTACTATGGTTCTTGCATTAATTACATTTCAGCACCATTACTTAACGTTTGTCAGTTAACATTCTCCCAGTGCTGCAAAACTTCAGAATGTGACTAATGGGGAAAATGAGGCCTTTGTGCACATGTGAAAACAGAACTAGAGACTATTTCAAAATGAATGTCTAAGAATAAATAAACAGATCTAAAATAACAAAGTCTTACCTAATACGTATCCTCATGAGAATTGATTCAGAGAAGAGCTGAGAGTATTTTGCAAATAGCATAACATAGCAGTTTAGATTCTAATGCACCTCGGTAATCACAAAGAGAGGCTTGCGTATGGTGTGAAATGCACAATTATGTCTTGTTTCAAGCCTGGCTTAATAAGGGAATATAAAATGATCAAGTAATGGGAATTTTCGTTTTGTTGTTGATTTCGTTTGTTTGTTTTTCGGTTTTAAGGAGCAGAGAGTTTAATAGGCAAGAAGGAAAGGAGAAGACAGAAGGAAGAGGCTCCTCCATCTGGAGACAGAGGGACGGAGGCTCCAAAGCCCAAAGAGGAGGCCCCCAAATGCGGTGGACACCAGCCAGGTATATATGCAGGGGGTGGAGGAGGCGATGTCAGATTTGCGTAAGGCTTAGGGGAAAGACGAAAACACAAATAATATGGAAGATGGGAACCCTTAGGCCTACCTCAACTTTAAAATGGGTGTAATAACAGTACCAGCCTTCCAGTGTTGTTATGGAGATTAAATGTGACCATGCATTCAAGGGCCAGGCTGCTAGGAAAGGCTTGATGATAATATCGGTAATAATAAAACCTGGTACAATTATTATTATTGTTGGTATTAGTATGCATTCATTTGCAAACAGAGACTCAGCCCACATTGAACAGCTAGGATGCCCACTCCACATTCAGTATCTCTGTCAGAGTAAGGAGGAGGCAGCTGCCAACAGTGAACCCCCGGGGTTTCTTCCTAGCCTACGGCAAACCAGCCGGGTGACCTCTCTGCACCTTGCTTTCTCATCTGCAAAGAGGGCATAACAACAGTAACCATGTAGCTCTTAGAACAGCGTCCGGCATGTGAGCCCATGACTTATGGACCACTGATGTGGATGTGGGGCTTCTGAAATGTGGGGAGGTTCTCGGGGTGTATCTTCTCTTTAATGCCGCTCCAGTCTGAATATGGATGTCCCCTCCTAAATCCAGGTGTTGAAATCCTAACCCCCAAGGGGATGGTACTTGGAGGTGGGGCCTTTTGGAGGGGATTGGGCCATGAAGGCAGAATCTTCATCAATGGGATTCGTGCCATTATAGAAGAGGCCCCAGAGAGCTGCCCTGCCCTTTCCACCACGTAAGGACCCAGCAGGAAGATGCCATCCTGAGAAAGTGGGCTCTTACAGGACACCAACTCTTGATCTTGGATTCTCAGCCTCCAGAACTGTGAGAAACCAGTTTCTATGCAGAAGCCACCCAGTTTATGGTGTTTATAAAGAGCTAAGACAAACGCCCTCAAATCCTGCCCTTCTAATCCTGCTGATAATTATGCAAGAGTAAATTCCGGTCTGGTCTCAACCAAATGATTAAAACTCCAAATCAGTGGAATTTGAACTGAGCTTGGCCAGTGATCTCCGTCTGGCCTCTACGAGTTTCCCTCCTACAACAGAGTCACTCCCTGGCCTGCTCTCAGAGAACCTTTGTGTTCTGGGCCAGCCACCCACTAGGAAGGGGTTCAAAGGCCTGTCTGCTCACAAACAAGAAAAAAAAAATACCAGACGGGAGAGAAGGCAGGGAGCTGGTGGGCAGACTGTTTAGAAGGAACCAACATATGAAGCCCGAGCCCTCTCCTTGCCTCCCTTTTTAAGAGATGTCTCCTGGGGCCTCTGGGACCAGCTGCTCTCCCAAACACATTTCAAGACCTGTTTCTCTGAATCCTCCCAACATTCTGGTGCAGGAGGTTGATTATTGCCATCTCTGTTGTGGCGTGAGGAAGCTGAGGCATGGAGGGGCCGAATAACTTGCTCCAGGGACAGCTCATCAGCAGCAGAGCCAGGAACTGAAGCCAGATTCGCCTAACTGCAGAATTGGTACCACACACCCCTCGGCTACGCTGTCCCTGCTTCTACTACGCATCCTCCCTCCATCCTCCTGGTTCCGCCTATAGCCTGGAAGCCCTCCTGACCCTGGCTTAGCCCAGGCTGTAAGCAATGTCCTAAGCTAGATTCCCATATCAACAGGAGGGGACGGTGTGAAGGTAATGTCATAGGCCAGCACCTATGGTCTGGGTAGACTGGCTGGGGTCTTGCCTTATTTCTCTACAAGGCGGTCTTCTCATGGTGGGGAGTCATTGCAGTTAAGCTACTTCACAGGTATTTCCAAAGGTGAAGATGAATGGAAGGCACCTTTTAATCAGAGCTCCAGCAATCCCAGCTTGTTTAATAGTTTTATAGGTATTTTCTATTACTACCTAAAGGGCACTATTGTCTTTACCACCACCACCTTCTTAAGAGCAATAAATATTCTTCTTAAAAACATAACCAAAGGGAAAAAAAAACCCTTAACTGGATGTAAAATCATGTAAATCTGCCACTGCCTCCACGGCTAGATGGGTGGAAAAGAGGTAAAATGGCATTTTACAGAGTCCACAGGGAATTCGGAGAGTCAGTTCAGACACAAATTGATTTGTGGACATTTTTTATGTTGCTAACGCTTAGTGCCCAAACAGCAGTTTCCTAAGGCGTGAGTGCAGTGGAGGCTCTCCGCGCCGGCCTCTGAACGCCTCCACCTCCAGCCTGGGAAAGCGCTTGCCGGCCTCTGCTCCGTGATGGGGAGCAGGTGCCTGAGCCATGGCCGACAGCGTGGCATCACAGGGTCTGCCCTCAGCCACTGTGCCCCATTGGGGAAGATACCTCAAGGAAGCGCCATCTCTCCAGCTCCCACACTCCCACCAAAGCCCACTTAACCAGCATGTTCTCCTGCCCTACTTAGACTTAGGGCTGGGATGTCAGAGAGATGTTAAGACATAGTCCTTGTTCTCAGATAATTCACAGTAAATTTCAGAGACAAAAGCATCACGTGTGGGACAACAGTCACCCATCAGTGACTATCACCCTCAGTGAGTATCCACAGAGGATTCTGAGTATGGAGGACAGAAGGGGTCAGGGCCCCGAGTTCCAGCCCAGCACCAGGGCACCTGGACCCACCCATTCCCTGCTGCTCACCAGCTGAGGGAGTTCGGGCAAGTCATCTAGTTTCACCGAGCCTTAAAATCCTCGTTGTTCCTATCTCAAAGGAGTGATCAGGATCACTAAATAATGACATCGAATAACAGCAAATTAAGGAGTGCTTTATAGGTGCCAGATACTGTTTTAAATGACGTGTATGTATTCGTGTACATAAATCTCGGAAATAACCCCGCGAGGTAGAGTCTTTTACTCATTCCATTTGGCAAATGAGAAACTGAGGCACAGAGAGGTTAAATAAATGGCACAAGGTCACCCAGCAAGAAAATGGTAGAACATGGTACTCTAGCTCCATGTTCTTGAATACTCGGTGATCCTACCTTTTGAAGCACAAGAATGTTTTGTAAAATAAGCATAGTCCAAATCTGTGGGATGGTGTAACACCCAGAAAATACCCACGAAAGGCTAAAGTGCTGCAAAATGTACACTGGTCTCTTCCCCAGAAATCTGCTCTCTGTTTAGAGGAACTGCCCTGCCTCTTCCTCTTTCCTCGGCAGGAAAGTGTCAGTAAGCTGCGGTGGCTGATTGGGTTTGTCGTCCAAACAGTGGCCATCCCTCCTCTGCTAACAAAGGCCAGGTCTGCACAGCAGTGGGTCCAGCCTGGGTTGGGAAGCGTGATCGGCAGCAACTCCCTTCTCTTTCACTGTGACGGGTCATGTAACCCAGCTCTGGCCAACACATTAAAAAAAAGTGTTTTCTTTTTTCTTTTTTTTTTTTTTTTTTTTTTTTTTTTTTATGAGACAGAGTCTCTGTTGCCTAGGCTGGAGTGCAGTGGTGCGATCTCAGCTCACCGCAACCTTCACCTCCCAGGTTCAAGTGATTCTCCTGCCTCAGCCTCCCAAGTAGCTAGGATTACAAACACACTATCACATCCGACTAATTTTTGTATTTTTAGTAGAGA